CAGCTTTTGATGCCATTGTATATTCCAAAACTGCTTCTTTTTCTGCTATCTGTACTTCTTCATTCAATTGATCAAGCTTTAACTCCTCCTGAAGTCTAGACATCTTTAATTTACATTCCTGTTCCTTCTCTTCAATGTTGGCAAAATTCCTCTTATTGAACTTTCTCAGCACTGATTTCAGCATTTTGTGCTTCCTCATTACCTGAAACTGTTTAGAGCCTTCCACTGCTGTTTGCCATCCCTGCTCAATTATTGGAATGAATTCTGGATGTTGTGCCCACATATTGAAGTATCTAAATGACCTTTTGCACTGCTGTGTTACTTCTCCCCACCTTACCAACAGAGCATTGTGATCAAATATTCCAGCAGGCATTATTGTACAGTATGCATCAGTATATTTTTGCATCCATTTATCATTCACAAACACCCTGTCCAACTTTGAAAATATTCTCATTTCACCAATTTGCTTATTAGTCCAAGTGAACCTTCCACCATAGGTTTGCATTTCCCACCATTCATTATCTTTTACCAGTTTCTTAAACTCTTCAGTATCAACACTTAACTCATTCCCTCCTCCAATCTTGTCTTCTTTATTTAATATACAATTATAGTCTCCCATTATGAGCCATTTACCACCTACATTTGGTTTGAGCTGCTTGAGCTCCGTCCATATAGTGACTCTTCTCTGAGCATTATATTCACTGTATACTATTGTCAGGTTGAACTCTTTAGTACCATTTACTTCTTTCACAAGGCAATGGACATATTGTTGAGTTATTTGTTCCACCCTTATTCTATATACCCATTTCTCTTCCAAATTAATAGTATTCTCCCCTTATTTCCTCCTTCACTATTTTCCACATAGTCATATTGTCTCCATTTCCATTTCATCAACTCTTCCACCTTCTCCTTATGCAACTTAGTCTCCAATAATCCTGCAATTCCCACATTATTAACAGAGAGGAAGTTCCCAATCTCTCTGTGTTTCAGGGGACTATTAAGTCCGCTTACATTCCATGAAGTAATATTATTCATGCTTACTAGGACCTGGATCATGGGGACTAGAAACAGAATGATAAATTGTATGCACTGACTTCATTTTATCACACATCCTTCCTTCATTCACCTTGTTTCCTTTCTGATTTAATATTTGAATCCCTTCCCCATGATTGCTTGCATCCTTTCTTTGAGTTCCGATTGGACTCTTAACTGGTGATCTATTCATAGGAGTTACTCTTGGAGACTGCTCCTTCCTGCTCACCATTTTGCTACCACCTGAACTCCCCACTTCCCCAACTTCTTCCTGAATTTCTCTGCCTTTTGGTGTTGCCTGTAAGGGATCTTCCTTTACAGATTCTTTTACATTCCAAGGCTTAGGAACTGGAACCCTACAGATCTCAGAATAATGACCATAACCTTTGCAATTCCTACACTGGACTGGCATCCATTCATATAGGATCTTCTGTTCTTTCAATTCACCATCTTCATTTTCGAACCAGATCTTATTCTTCACCTTTTCTTGTATTTCCACTTCCACAAGTACTCTGGCACAAGCAGATCTTAGCTTTTGTACTGTCATATCATCCATTTCCACAGGGTTGCCAATCATACTGGCCAGCCTACTTAGTGTAGTATCATTCCATTACCTAAGAGGCAATTTAGGAAACTGAATTCACACAAGAATAGTCTTCACTTCCTGCATTTTCAGCTCCTCAGTTACAGACCATTCCTTAACTATGAAAGGTTTCCTATCAAACATGGACACAGGGTGTTTGAGTACTTCTTCCTTTACTGAAATGGACTTGAACCGTACAATATACACTCTATTATCAAGCAGTAATATCTTATCCACTCCTAGTTTTCCCCATATTCTTCTAATAAATCCACTCATCACAGCAAATGGCGGATTTGCTCCCAACACATAACATAAAACAGATGGTTTCCAGTAATCAATCTCCTTTTGCACTTCCTCTTTTGTGATCTTTCCAATTTCACTTTCATTTACTTTATTTGGTTCAATGAATCGAAGCTTCTTAGGTTGATTATTCAGCTGAGCATTAACCCCATTCCAAACATGCTTCTCCTTCAGTTCATTATTCAACAAATTACCACAATTATCATTCCCAACATCTTCTAATTCACTACCCACAGCAATGATTCGGTGATTACAAATTTTTTTCTTCATTAAATGCCCTTCAGACATCGCATTTAAAGCAGAATTAGGGTTAGGAACCTGACTCTGATCCGCATTTATTGCGGTTGATCCTTCTTCCACTCTATTCTTCTCAGCTAGATCTCGGTCCTGATCCATCTTCACATTTGCCTCTCCCTTCTTCTTCGATTTCCTTGCCATCGCAGTCAAATTGTCAAAGAAACCGTCAACTAAAGAACACACACTTGAGGTGTATTCGCCCCTAGTGTCGAAGAAACACTTTAAATATTTTTGCATAACAAAACCCATTACACTATTTTTAGTGCACTATCTTTTTACTTAGATCTAAAGATATATTTGCTATGCAATTAAACTTGTAAAACAAATTATGTTATAAAAATTATATCATATTAAATATTTTGTTGAGATCTACAAAATAAGACCCATATTGAATATAAATTTTTATTTTTTTAAAAAATAATTTTTAGTTATTATTAAAATTGAGTATAAAAAATAAGTAAAAAAAATTTGATACATCTACAATCAAATAAAAAGCGATTATATGGAACAAATTTCACAAAATTATCACCAAATTACATTATTTAACTACAAAAAAATAAAATTTAAACTAAAACATTTAATAGGTAGACATTTTAGTGCATCAAGGTTGGAGTGTAAAGAACTTTTGTGTAAAAAGATGCTTAGAATATTTCATTTGTGCACTAAATTTGGTGTAAATTATAGTGCAATTGGTTGGAATTGCTCTAAATAACCAAGAATAAGATAAGAGTCGATGTACTTGATTTGGACTTCTCTTTTAAAGTATGTTAATAATAAAATATGTCAAGTAAAATTCAACCGCAAATGAAAAAACTAAAATCACAATTTCTAAATGGAATTTTCTTTTTCTTTTCCAAAATAAAACTATGTTGAGCCCCTTTTTTAATTTAATTTTAGTCCCGCCAATGCTAATTGCGATAAGTTATGAGATTAAAAAATTATTCTTTTGCTCGTCAAAATCGGAATTTTATTCGACATTGTCGTATTGATGACTAAATAAATACTTATTCGTGAACATAATTTTTTAGCACTATAAAAATATAAGCAAAATGTAATATTAAAAACTACTCCTGATTTTTTCATGGACCAAAAATCTAAACGAAACTAAAAAACTATACACGAAGGACCCGAAAACTCGGACTCTTATTTCATATGCCAGGCAACAAAAAGTAAAAAAAAAAAAAAAAAAGAGCCAAAGAGATAGCAAAAAGCTTCCCCAATCAACTTCATTGAGAGCACTAATGATGATGATATCAGGATAAATCTTGACCTGCTTGAGGAGCGATGAGATGCCGTCAGGATCAGAGAGGCGAAATACAAGGAGATCCTCCGCAGACGCTACAGCAAGGGGGTCAAGGCAACAGAAATCGTGGTGGGGGATCTTGTATTAAGGAAAAAACGAAGCCAGTCGAGCAGAAATTCCCGAAAAACTCACTACAAACTGGGAAGGACCTTACAAGGTCATTCAGGCCTCTCCGGCGGACAGTTACCGCTTTCAAGCCATGGATGACAGTGGAACCATCCTCCCTCGAAGGTGGAATATTCAGAACCTCCGCAGGTTTTACGTTTAAGTCTTTGTTTGCTACTTGCTAGTTTAGGTTATTTGCTTTGTTTGCTCTGCTGCTTTTACTTTCTCGTATATAATGCTAACCCGGGTCCTCAGGTAATTATTCAATAAACGTCATTACATATTTTCTTATACCGTCGACATTATATTAAGACTAGTCCTCGAGATGGATTCCTTCTTTAGGGCCACAAACCGAGGAATTCCCCTCATACCCACCGTAGATCATGGTAACAAATCGAGGAACTCGTACCTAGTTTCCTCAACAAAGCCGTGTACTTAACATCTGGCTGAAACGGGCTATACAAATAAAGAAACTCGAGTTTTATAAAGCAATTATACGCTTGCTACCTTCACGTATTGTGCGAGTTTACAAGGAGAACATACATGTTTTTCTACGATATTATAAGGATTTCCATGCTGGGGTTGTCAGGTGATGAGTGGATAATGCCTTTAAACCCATGCAGGTTAAGAAGATTTACGCACTGGTTAAGCTTATCCTTGAGATCTATAATCTCTTCGTCCTGAGAATGAACCCTTAAAAGGAGTTCCTCTCGAGAGTTCCTGGTTTTTGGATATACCACTTCTTCGGGCTTCTCAAAAGGTGAGAAGTCGACATTATGGTCCAACAGTAAGTTCTGAAGCTCGCTTATGTATCCCATCAAGAGCTCGACTTCACAAGTCCTCTCTTTAAGCATATCCATCACTGAAATAAACCGACGCGTTCTTATTGAGATCATGTGCTGCACTCGAGCAAGGACCTGATGCTTCTCGAGAAACCATCGCAACACGGTAATCTGTTTGCCCTGTTTCAATCGGGCATTTTCTTTTTCCAGAGCAACTAGCTCATCATGGATGTCCCTCTCGAAAGTTAAAGAATCACTGAAGTCTTTATATTTCTGATGCTGGTTGACTTTCACATTGCGCGCTTGCATAGCATCGAGAAAATCAATTTCTACGGTTGCTATTGTCTCGATACTTTGGACATCTGCACGACTTCTCATACTATCGCTAATCATCGAGTATAGAGGATATTCCTTCGATTGTTCCTCCGACAGAATCATGCGATGGATTCGATGAACCGACCAACTATCCTGTTTCCAGGAAGGATCAAAAGGCCAAAATTAGACTTGTAGGGATAGACAACATGCCATTCACTTAAAGGACAAATAAAAACTTAAATTGTTTACAACAATCCCTAGCAGCTATTACAGAGGGAACAGTTCATATAGCATCTTGCCCAGCAGAACCATCCTTGGGATGACTCAGAGATGTCCCTCCAGCATTCTTCTGTGCTCCCGAATTGCCAGTATCAGACACGTCTTCCCTCGAAGCCTCATCACCTTCTTCCTCAAGCTCGATGTCGATATACTCATCCAACACCTCGGGGATTGGCTCCTCGTCGCTTGGACCCTTGGACAAGACTATGGCGGGATCACCAGGGAACATGGCCATATCTTCAGGAGTACCCATCTTAACGAGGGCTTTGCACAGAACCTCCCATAAAGGTAGCTGCTCGCTGCTGAGCTTCGTGAGAACCTTTACCAATGCTTCATACACGGTTTCCTTCGGGCTCTCTTTCAGGAACTGTTTGAACCACTTGGCTTTGATGGGTCTGTCCCCGCTAAGCCTCTTGAGGCCTACAACAGCTTCTCCTCGAAGGTTGCTGCAATGCCACATGAGGATAACATCCTAAACCAGAAGGCAGCACACCATTTGTGGAGATCCTCCCTCGAGATGTGTAGATTTGCAAAAGCCCTCAATTTCTCGTCCAACTCATTATATTTTGCCCGCACCAAGGCTAACTCCTGCTCTTTGGCTTGTATCTGTTGATTTCTCTCCTCAAGAGCAGCCTTCTAGACAAGCGCTTGGTCCCTCTCGATCTGAACCTGGACCAACTCTTCCTTTAAATTCCTCAAGTGCATCAAGTATGCCATCGAGGCCGCACTCATTTGTAAAATTTAGCAAATGACACAAAGTTCGTCTACAGGATATTTGCAAGCTTATTCTTGAAGGGTATAAAGTACTTACAAGCCTCACGTTGTCGGTTGCTGTTAACTGTGCAGCGAACTCTTCCAACAAGGGGCATTCAATGGTTGGAGGGTCACCAAAAGTATGAACGACAACAGTTGGTCCTTCTTCGGACACACGGGACGACAGAATGGTTGCCTCCTTCTCGAGCGGCCCTTCCCTTTGTCCATGGCAGGTGCCTTGGTGCTTGGGTCTACTTCTACTTGGGCCTTTTCGGTTGTAGGGGAGGCACTGGTCTTCTCTATTGTAGGAGGCACGGTATTCTCCCCTTGAGCTGTTGACTTCGAGGCAACAACATCCGCCTTTTTTTACTTCTCCTTCTCTGAGACCTTCACGAGTCTCTTCCTTTTCTTATTGGCTCTAGCAGCTACAGTAGTTGACTCTTCTTCATCTGAATTCACAATAGGAAAAGGGGTCTTCATCACCAAACAGTTGAGAACCAGCATTGCTCGACGAGATGACCTAAAAACAGTAAAAGCAATATAGGATATTAGTACCTTTTTCTTCCTCGACCAGAGTGTTAGTGTCTTTCCCCTCCTCGACAAGAACAGGAGGAACGTAATGTTGCGCGTCACTCCATTTAACAAGCTTGGAGTATTTCAAGATTTTGTTCAAATCATCGGCGAACTCCTCGACACTATCGTCATCCTCCTTGGACCATTCATCCTTTATCACCCGGAGACCTTCCACTTCTCGTTGGTTCCAAGCTACACAATACTTTTCTGACGCTTTCACAAAAAGGTATCCAGGCTTCCATTCAGGTGAGCCACCATATGCCTCGACCATCTTCTTGACGCTGGGTCTAAGCGTCTCTTGACAATGTACCAATCTTGGAATGATGTCGAGGGAACGACAACTTGGAGGAGGTATCTCCACAGAATTAGTTGGGACTTTACCTTTACTCATTGACATATTTTTGCGAATCCGAGCACAAAGGTTATCAAATTCGGAGTAAAACGAGCAGGGGGGGGTTTTATAGTGTTGGACAATCTCCTCGAATAGAGGGAAGAGGGGGAATCTTAGCCCTAGATGCATAAAGCGGTCATATTTAGTGATTCTTCCCTCAGGAGGAGAATTAGCCCTCTCGGTTCCTAATGGGGCTCTAGCTTCTAGATCTAGGGGCAGGAGATATCTCGTTTTTACAGCGTTTACCTTCTCATCAGAATCTAAGGTGGAAGCAAAGTCATCTACAATTTTTAAATCTGGATTCCTAGCCATATCTATCACAGTATTTCATATCTAAATCGGAACTAGAATTCGAAAGGAATTGGAAAGTAAGAGTGAGTTGGAAAGACTTACTATTAGAAAAGACCACTCTCCTTTTGAGTTATATCTCCCCAGGATGTTGATGCCCACTCGACGATGGAGCGTTTCAGTCCGGTCTGGTGGTAGCAGCAATAGCAGAAATGGCTGGAACTCAGGCAAGGGCACAATAGCAGTAAGGTCGCTCCTTTTTTCTGGGTATTGTGAAGTTTGGAAGAGAAAGGAAATGTCAAAATGGATCTCTCCCAAGAGGTATATAAAGAAGATCAGTCCCCCACGTTTCTGCCGTTGCAGCGGTAATCAAGGCAGTTATGATGGTGTTGGCAGCTGTTTGGGGAACGTGCCCACTAATGAAGTAGGGTTTATTAATTTGGGCGGGATTCTGAAGCGGGTCAACTTCTCGAATCGGATCCTGACCCGTGAGATACTTTATCAGGCTTGCTCGATGCAGCGTGGGCCGAGACTTGTCTGTCCTACTTGGGCCAGGTCCAGGTATTGTTTATTTTGTGTCAATCCTTGTTTATTTCATACAACTAACACTTGACAGGGGCACTTGACGAGTCCATATCCACCGAGAGCTATTGGACCGGCCCATCTGTTTATTGTGGTCCAACCAACCTAACGGAGGCGGTTCCGGAACATGAAAGCTAGTAGGATTCGGCATCCTCAAAGGTAACTTCATGCCTATAAATAGGGGGGATCACAGCGCAATACGGGTACGCTATCTCTAGTACAAAATACTACTTACATATGTTCTTTAAACCTTTTTTCTGACTTAAGCATCGGAGTCTACTCTTGGGAGATCCCTGAGGCCTTTTTTTGCAGGAAGCCCTAAACGGAGTTCCACCACCAAACCGGCGGTGTAGAACCAAGCTTCGTCAGGTATTAGAAGCTCAAAATCAGCCAGAGATTACTGTTTGCTTCAACTTGCAATGGGAGACTTGCGAATTACCCGATATGCTCCAAAAAGCACGCGGAAAAAAAAAGTTCATGCCCCATTCTCGAAGATCAAAACCTAAATTTGAAACTCCTCAAGATCTCCTTTTTCTTGTTTTGTTTCCCTTATGCTATGTAGTCTTAAAGGTTACTACTCCTTTTTTACATCATTAGTTTCTGTAATTATCAATATTCAGTCATAAGTTAGTTCTCACTAGAGTAGAGACTGATAAAAATCTCAAATATCCGGTTTGTTTTCATCTGAATTTAATTGACAGAACGTCACACCTATTTTCATGCATAGTCATGTCATCTGAGATTTTCATGTGTCCTCCAAAAGGCAACAGGCAGCTGAAAGCTAATTATTGTCTGCACCATTGATAACATAACTGATAAGTCATAAGTGAACCATTGTATCATGATGTACTATAGAACAAACTCAACAGCAACATGAAAAGGATGACTTAATTTCCAACCTTTGGCCTCATAAAGATGCAGTAAAGAAATACTGATTGCCGGAGGAGACGCTATCTCAGCAATTAAGTACTTTGTTTCTTAATCAAAATTTAGTTTTAACTTGATGGATTGCTTTACCACAACTTTTTGTACGTCCTATTCTCAAATCACGTGTAACTGTGAGTTTTTGAAGTCAATTGCATATATTTATGCATAATAACTGGACTTTTTATTTGTTGTTGACTTGTTGTTTTTGTTTGGAACCATGCATTATAATACGAAAGGCTTTTGGTTTATAAGCCGATTCCGATGAAATCCATACAAGAATTTGCTCCGGAGGGGACCAAACGAACCAAATTAACTTATGCAGTTTGTATATGCACCCTGTCATTTTCAACAGAAATGTTTCATTTTAACTATTCAATGTTTGACAAAGTCGCACATTTACATGGCTCTGTTATGTCTTGATTTCCGTTGGATGTTTCAGTCAAATTGCCGAATGTATTATATTCGAATTGCTCATCACGAGCTTATGTGATTTGAAATCATTGATCAAAGTCCAGTATAAATATCCGCAATCTGTACATTTACACAATTACACTAAATTATCACTTACTCAATACAATAGATTTTCATCACCATGCTTAGAAATTTCGTTGTTATGCTTCAGTTTTTCGTATTATCGGTGCTATTTTTACCGAGCCCTTCATTGTTCTTTCATGTGGAAGCTGAAAATACCATTGATTTCTCATTTGATCTAATTCACAGAGATTCCCCTGAATCACCCCTTTACAATTCTTCCTTAACATCGTATGATCATCAGAGAAATGCTTTCCAACATTCAATAGATCGCATGAATTATTTAGTATCTACAAATGTCCTTCCGAGCGGAGGCGGATACCTAATGAAAATTTCATATGGCACCCCATCGTTTGAAACATTAGCCTTAATCGACACGGGGAGTTTCCTCTCCTGGACACAATGCCTACCTTGTATACATTGTTTCACTGAAACTGTTCCTCTTTTTGATCCCAAAAATTCTTCAACTTTTGAGTTCATTCCTTGCGGGTCTAAAGAATGCCTGGAAACCGAGCAATTCACGTGCGATCCAAAATCGAAATCGAATCGTTGCTCATATGGAATTCTTTACGGGGGAGGTACTATAGCTAGAGGAGACGTCGCGGTGGATACTATAACTTTGAGAAGTGGTTCAGACCAAAAAAATGTGTCCATTCCGAACTTTGTTTTCGGATGTGGGAATAACAACACTGGTGACTTTTCAGCTATAGGATCTGGAATACTTGGTTTCGGGTTTGGGGACCAATCATTTGTTTCGCAACTGTATACTTCAATCCAAGGCAAATTCTCCTATTGCCTTGGGGTATCAACTCCGGAAGTATCAGAACTCGGGAAGCTCAAACTCGGTCCGAACGACGTGTTTTCGAGTGGTGCCGGCGTAGTTTCAACAACATTACTGAATCTAAAGAATTTCTACACCGTGACACTAGAAGGAATAAGTGTGGAAGGTACATCATTAGGCCAATATTCAAACGACATTATTATCGATTCAGGAACTACGGTAACTTTTCTTCCAACGGTACTCTACGAAGATCTTCAATCAACCTTGAAACAAAAGATTAACTCGGACGAATTAATCGTGCCGGATCCGTTAAAAAGCCTGGGATTGTGTTATTCTTCGTTAGAAGGAGTTAGTGTTCCTAATGTTACTATACATCTCAAAGGTGCAGACTTGGAACTCAACCCAGTCAACACTTTTGTAAGTACCTCAATTTCTTCCATTTGTTTGGCCTTTGCGCCTACTGATGATTCGGGCACCTTGATTTTGGGCAACCGACAACAAATGAACTTTTGGGTCGGATATGACTTGGATGCGAAAGTTGTCTTGTTTAAGCCTTCAGACTGTACTGCAGAACAGTAATTGGCTTGATCCGACACAATAGGTTGCTAGCGGATCTAGAACAAAAATGCAGTGGGAGCCAAAATTTATGATAAATACCGCTTATTTGATTCGTCACCACTGCAAATTTTCATAGTTTGATACCATGTATATTTATGCATATCAAAACTAACTTCTTATAAATTATTCATGGCATTACAAGATTTTTTATCCGATTAGTTAGAAATGATTCTTCCTACCATTGTCATATTTTTATAAGCAATTATTTTATTTTTATTTTTTTTAAAAAATTACAACTCGTATTTTGGCGCTCGTAAACAATTTAAGGTATGATATAAGACGATGTGTTACTATAAAACGTTACAAGTATACAATTGTATTAGTTGAATGAACTAGGTTTAGTTTCGTTACTTCTATTATAATTAAAACTCATTCAACTTTCAGTTGATTTTAAAAAATTTTATGAATCCAAAAACTCTAATTTCAAATTAGATTGAGATGATTGGCACAAAACACAATTGTGAGAAATAAACAATACAATTTAACTTAAATTACAATAAATTAATAACGTAAATAGTAAAACATTAATTAGTGTCAAATTAAAATAAATAAATATAATATTAATTTAGAGTGCCCGTGGCCCCCACCCTAAACTCGCCACTGTTGCTATCGTGGCTTAAGCATGATGTTGTGAGTTAATATCTGGGTGTTAACATTTATTACCTCTGCAATGTTTTTAGTACAAATTTGAAAACTCAATACTCCCTCCATTCCAAAATAAGTGTCGTTTTAACAAAATGGAGAAGTTTCAAAATAAGTGTCGTTTTCAGATTCCAATGTATTTTTTCTCAAAAATTTCCAAACATACCCTCAAAAGAAATAATATTATTGGTGAGCATTTATTTTAATGGGGTTGGTTGAGGATATTCTAGTAATTTAGCTACCATATTTAATGTTTTCTTAAACTGTGTGAAAACTCTAGAATGACACTTATTTTGGAATGGGGTGAATATATACTCATTCGCAGTAACCCTGGTTAATATGTGCTCTTATTCAGAGCTAATCAATCCAGGTTGCTGCGGAAAGTGTTTTTCAGTAATATTATTATTAATTTTTGGTCCATGCACATCAGTGGTAGACTGGTGGTAGAACCAAAAATTACATTTGACTATCCGCCTTTTTGTTGTTAGTTATAAAATACACAAATTGTACATGCATCTTCCTTAAAAATTACATTTGACTATCCACCTTTTCTTGTTAATTATAAAATACACAAATGGTACATGTCTCTTCCCTATTTTTTGAGACAGATGGATACAATAATAGCTAAACCTATTTAAAAAATCGTGAGTATATGATAAACTTTTTTGGTCTAAAAGCAAACAATCTCGGAACAGAGAAGTTGCCTTTAGTACTTGTATTTTACTTCCAAGTTAGCTAAAACATTGGATTATCTATTCATTCTCTCTAAATGTTATGCCCAAATGTAGTTTTCATTTGGGAAAATTTGGATTGGAGTAGGAAATGTGGGTATAGTTACATTCGGGAAGTTTTGGATTGAAGGAGTAGGATATGTCTAAATTATATTAGGGTATTAGCTTAGTTTATTCATTATTGTAAGTATATTAACTCTTTAAACATTTTTGGTGTTATTAGTTTTTTTTCCCTACTCCACAGTATACTGTCTCTGCACAAAATTAGATTGGTTGATCTTGCCATTTGCTGGCTGTAGGGTTATCGTGATTCAATCACAATCACCGAAGCATCCAGAAGTAGTTTACCATTATCTCGAAGAACTCAATTGTGTCTGGATGGTGTAAGAAACAGAGATTTTGGTTTTTCATTTCTAATTTTCCTTGTTATCAAACTTAAGCATCATGCATGTAATAATAATTGGAATACGCTCTCTATGTATTCTATTGGAGTATGTATGATATACGACCTAAAAGATAACGATATGGGCCGCAATGGTTTGAAAACGTAATAAAGCTAAATCCATTATGTACAAATGTCAAAATAGTTACAAAAATCAGAAGCACTAGAACGATATTATCAGTTTACGTGAAAGCAAAAAAAGAGCGTCGACAACAAAAATCACCAAGAATGGCGATTACCTCTCCTAATCTTTCTTCGGAAAGGCCTACATGCCTCAATGCTGAGATCAACAGCAGCAGCCAGGGCCATAAATATAGCGGCATCCTCCACGCATCGGATGTGCCGCATGGCTAGTTGCACAAGGGGCTTGCTGCATTTTCCTTCTCCTTGCACTCTACAACTCATGACAAACCCGCCATCAATAGGGCTTAAAGCTGTGAAATCCCCACTGCTTTGTGGACTTGGAACTGGAGTAGCAGCAGCTCGAACTTGTTTATCGATGTCTATGAAGAATTCTCCACCCTTTTCAGCATTAATCAATATCTCTGACATAAGAATCTCACCACCTTCTTGTCCTTCGGCTAAAAGGTGGAAGCGACAGCAGATGGAATCTCTCAGGCCACGTTCACGCCATGCTTCAAGCTTTCCCCAAGGTTGCCAGCACTCAGGCCTGCAAGGATCTGGGCGAACAATCAACCAAGCTCCTGGGTTGGATTTTGCCACCCAATCACAACCTGTTGATGGAACAAATGGAGTAGTAATGAAAGCTGCTGCTACGGCCGAGCCAGAAAGGTCATGTATCTTCACCTTCCATCCCTTCCTCTCCCTTCTTTCAGTCTCATGGTCAGTGCCCTCAATTGAATGCGACCAGAAATTGCTCAAGGGATCCAGCTGGGTTACCCTGCGATTTAATATCATAACATCGTCACAAAGATTCAGATTATACCTTTGTGAGAACAGTATACATTTCAAGGAAAGAAGATTAAGAAGTCCTAGAGCCTGAAGTCTAAACTTCTGATGGCTACGCATCATGAAAAGACAAACACGACAATAAGATCTACAAGAATCAATTTCAATTCTCCAATCTGCCGATCCTAGCGAATCCTTTAAAAAAACTTGATGGCTTAAGAATGTGTAAATAAAAAGAACAGCATCAAAGAGCCTTGATATTAGTGATATCCATTGTCAAAACCATACAGATAAAATACAGAAAAAGCCTTAAACAAAAGCAGGGAAAAGCAAAAGGAAATGCATAGTGCAGAAACTTCAAGTCACCTGTCTTGATCAAACTTGCAACTAAAAATAGGCTGCTTGATTGTACCCTGGAGCTGCACAATCTGTGGACTTAATTTGGTCTCATCTTGAAACTGAAACACATATCTTGGGTCAGGATCCAATTTCACTCGGATATGAAGTTCTGCTCCAGGCTTTCCCCCCTCCTGCTTGCTCTTGCCAATACCTATCCACCCATTGAAAAGAATAACTGGTTTTCCCTCTGCCCATTCAGGACTCACCTCCAACTTAAATGTCCCAATTTGTTGCCTTTTAATTCCTACGCCACAATGAGTTCCTTTACGCCCTGTAAAAACAACTATTTCCAGACATGCATGTGATGCATAGAAACAGCCAGGGGCCAGCAATGCTTTCAGATCAGATTCTTCTAGATAAAAGCTGGAGGCAACACTCTGTGCATCTGGGGTAACTTCAGGAGAGGATACAAAGGGAATAGATGAGGTCTGCACAGGAAAACCACGTAAGCGAATCTCACACACACATGGAGAAGACAATGCACGTAATCCGGATTTAGCAGAATTTAATGCTGTCCCAGGAAGTCTCAGACCCAATGAACCAATTGACAACCTTATGAAAGCTTGAGGATCCATTTTGGTCACAACCCCATCTCCACAGGTACTATACTGCAGTTTAGAAGCAGAAAATCTAGTGATTACAATGCTCAAGGGCAATTCTTAACTGAGAATCACATAACATCAGGAATACAATAGTAATCAAGCCTTGCCCAGAAGCTAAATCATAGATAAACAAACTTTAACAGGTATACACTTCAATTGTGATGCTACAATAACACATGACATAAGCAGTAAAATATATGTTTATCATACACACCTCAAAACTACCGTAGGATCTAAAAAGTAGTACTTCAGAGCATAAATTTGACAAAACCGTCAAGTAAACAAAAGACGTTACAGTACAAAAACAAGGCAAATCAGAATCAAAATTCAGGACAAAGATCAATTCAAAGACTCTTTTATGCATTGTCCAGCAAGAAGACCTCAGGAAAAAACCTCACCGTTATGAGAAAAACTAATGACGAAAACTTTTTCAGATCATTTTCTAGTAGAGAAGACCAAAATTTACTCACACTTTTTTTTGTCTTAACTTAGCGACCAATTACTTAACTGATGTGAAAAGTACCTAATGTTGCATAATTCACTCAAAAAGTGGAATATATCAGCTCTAAATCAGTGGTCGCATTACTTTATATTCGTAAAAGGGAGCATCATGCAATACCATGAAATCCACTTAGCCAAATACATTACCGGTAGGACACAAAGTTCAAAGCTTTTCAGAGTTGTGCTTTGACATTTTATGAAATTGGATAGACTTCCTAGTCATTCTAACATTTTGACCGTAGGTAAACCGTGACAATGAAAAGGATCCCTTGTTACAAAATCAAGAGTGCGAGAACATTACTAACCCCTCTTACTCTGCAGTCCATAGTTTATAAATAGAAATGCAAACAAATGGTTTAAAATGTAGACACAAAACCATGAAATGGGGGATCAACAACACTTTTGAAAAGTGAATTGCTGCTAAGCCAGCTAAAGTAAATTGGGGATACATAGTCCACAAAGATAACCTCTGCAACCACTGACATATCAACAATACTGAAGAAAGATTGCTGCTGTCACTTGCACATAGAGCTGGGGGTATTGGACCACATGTAGAGGAACAAGATTGAAGATACTATTCGCATGATATAATTGAAACATCGTACCAATTAATTGGATCATGAATCCGCTTATGTGCTTAGCAAGTAGACAAGGATTCAGATCAAAATAGGCAAACAGCAGTTGACTTCACCTTATACTCAAAAGTTTTACTTTCCCTCAAGCTAGATTAACTAGAATTCCGTAACTATGGATTCAAATGTTTCCATGTATTGAGCCCCCCTTTCTCGTCGGAAAGCCACCAAAACACACATGGTCACATTCTGCAAAGAATCAGGACAGCGGTGTGGTAATTGCTTATCATAACCTTTTCTACCAAGTGTCAATTGAGCAACTACTAATGCACATCCTCAATTCTCTTTGTGCAACTTCACCAACCAATCATCAATTACTGAAATTTTCAAACACATAATCTGCATCCAAATATCTAATCACATTACCAAAGAAAATTCAAGTCCAGAATTTTGAACCTCAATTGACACTCAAAATGGTAAGTATAGACAGATGCATCAAATTAAGAAAATCCAATATCAACAGAAAGCACAACTAATAACCCACACATGCCAGTCTTTACATTAAAGCATCTTTTACATGGCAAGTCAAAGCCACTCGAAAGGAACAAAAAAAAAACAAAACAGTCCCACAACTGGGGAAATCATTGGGCAATTGGCAGGGATGGGAGGAAAAAGAAAAAGAAGGAAGGTGAAACAAAATTGAACAAACCTTTGTAATGAAGCTTTATCTATCTCCAAAGCTAAACCAAAGCCTCTTTTGGAGCTGATGAGTACACTGACAAATACCCAGAAAGCTGAGAAAATGCTCATAACTTTCTCATTCAATGCCTCAGAGGATCAAATAATCATAAAGATTGTAACTTTCACACTGAAAAAAACCGCTTCAGATGATAAAAAAAAAACAACCCAAAATAAAAAACCAAAAGGGTCTCTCTCAAGATCCGACTGTAATCCAAACAAAATGATCAAAAGGGTCCCTTTATAAGAAAGGTCAGAACCCAAAAAAAAAAAAAAAAAAAAAAAACCCTGTTCCCAGAAATTCACGTATATTGAGCACAGATCACGAGAAAAGACACACACATATAAACCATATCTGTACTTATGTATTTCCACTGTATATATATCTTCAGATATATAAGCAGCTGTTTATTCCATAAATCTTGTGTTTTCTCTTCAGCAGTTTATTTAATAAAATAAATAAATACAGTAACTTTCGCTATTAAATATATGTATTTGATTCGTTTCCTTAAGGAGGAGTTCGAGAAGAAATACGTACTGTCATTGTTTAAAACGATACAGGCGGAGCAATTAAAGGACTATTATAAGCACTTCTTAAATTCTAACAAAGGGAAATTAAAAGGTTTTAACCAAGCTTTAGTAAATTTGTGGTGGTCAAATTCTATGTTGTTTTTTTTTTATTTTTTAGGGAAAAAATGTATCAACCTATAAATTTATTTGTATTTAATGATATTCGAATTCGTAATTTCATATTCTGTTTTTACACCTGTATAGTACTACCTCCGTTCCACAAAAATATTTCACATTGAGTTTTTAAATTTGTACTAAAAATAGTGTAAAATTCAAAACTCAATGTAAGCTATTTTTTGGGACGAAGGGAGTAATATTTTTCTTCCTTTCAAATGGTTCAACAACCATATGGTAGTATATTATTCAAAAACACCCCATTGCTCCAAGGACATTATAATCATTTTAGAAGGTAAATACAAAGATAAGTTTGAAAAGTTTTGAGCCCTTTGACAAAAAGAAGGGAAGTGAAAAAGAGTGAATAATTATTTTAAGGGAATATTAGTGTATACATCCCAACGTTAATACCATGTTAGCGAATTCATCCTAAAGTTTTAGAATTGGTTAATTACGTCCCAAGATTATTAAAATTGAGCAGATCCATCCCATGACTTACAAACTAAAAGAAGTAACCTGGTATCACAAGTAAAATCATTTGGATCCTATATTTATTATTTTTACTTCTATTTTTTTGAATTTTTAAATTTTTTGTTAGTTTATTGAAACAAAAACAACATTTATAAATAGAGAAACTAAAAACTTTAATTTATTTTATAATCATATTCATCTTAATTTTTCAATAAAACTTAAAGAAACTTTCCAAAAAAATTTCTTTATTTTGAGCGAAAAATAAAATGATTATGCTTTCACATATACATATGTATATATATATATATATATATCTTGTATTAAAAAATTAATTAATTTTGAGTTTATCTAAATTATAAATTATTTCATTTGTCATGCATAAATTATTTTGATTAATTAAGTAAGTTTTTTCGAGTTTTTTTAATCTAGAAAGTTTGTTTGTTTTTTAATGAACCAAAAAATGACCAAAAAAATTTTAAAAAATGAGAAAAAAAAAAGAAATATGAGACACAATAGATTTTTACTGTTATATCAGGTCATTTTATTATTTTGCAGGTCATGTGAGGGATCTGCTTAATTTCAATAACCTTAGGACGTAATTGATCAATTTTAAAACGTTGAGATAAATTAACACACTGGTGTAAACGTTGGGATGTATCCACTCTTCACTCTTATTTTAATTTTAATTTTCATAATAAAAATGATAATATGGTGAGTGGGACAGGGGGATAGGGGAATGGTGGGGGAATGGTATACAGCTGTAACCATGGATTTGTTCGCAATGAGAGAATCGTTGAATGACACGCTTTGTTTTGTGGTGGCTTTTTGTGGGGAAAGGGATGATCTGAGAATGACTTCATCCTTCATAACTGTCTACTCATTTTATTCTCCCCATCTACTAGTATTTTTATTTTTTTCCCCATAAAGTAACATTTCTCTTTTAAAAAATATATATAAGAAGAGCTATTCCCAACCAGAGATGATTGTTTTATTTATTATATTAAAATAAATAATAAACATTACAAACATGATAGGAAAGTAGGTATTGATTAACAAAAATAAATAAGATTTTATGTTTGGATGGTTTGTCGAAAAATATACGCAGAAAATGTAAATTTTTCCTCTAAATACGTAGAGGAAAAATTATAATAATAATTCTACGTATTTTCATGCTATTATTACATGAAATCGTCAATCTTTTACCAAATCTTATTAATTGAATCACTTTTTCAAGAAATGTTATATGAAACTCTTTTACAAAAGACTGATAAAAAATGACGTGGATGAAATCGAAGTCATTATAAAGTTTTAAATTTTTAAATAATTTTTATAGTTCATATTTACCCGAAACCATTTTCTATAATAAATGATCAGTGTATGTAGTATTACTTGTTGTTATATTGGAGGATTCTGTTTATGGCTACTGGAAAAATCCCTATCGATCAATGAGGTCCGGAGTAGTAGTCTCAAGCTCATCATCAAAAGTTTTCTCCACAAAATCCCTTAAATGCTGGGGAAAAAAAAAAAGTTGACAAAATATACACACTAATACGTACGATAAAAGATTACAGTATTTTCGTTAGTATGACGTAATTGTTGCATAAAAGTTGAGAGAAAATTTATACTCCCTCTGTCTCAAAATTTTTGTCGAATTTGATATTTCACTTTTATTAAATTTGAACTAGAAATAAAAATCTAAACTGGACAATAAGTATGAGACAGAGTGAGTAGTTTGTTTTTTCCAAATAAATAAAATAAAAAAAGGCCTGCAAATTTGGTTGTCTCTTGGTAGAAAACACAAAAATGGAAAAGTCCAAAGGGGTGGGGTTTTGTGAAAATACATTTTGACTTCATTCTCTCAATCAACTCTCATTGATTTACGGTGCCAAAAATTACTTAGTAATCCATGATGCAATGTGACAAAGGACCTTTTACATTTACATTTTCTTTTAATTCAATTAAAAGATATTAAGCGAACATATTTACATCCAGACTAATCTGTATTTCGTCCTAATTAGTAAAAATAAGTTTAATGTCAATTAAACTATGTGCTCTCTGAGCAGTTTTTATGGCATCTGGTGGAAGATCATCTGGATTGGATCAGTTTTAATTAAGATTTTGACCAGATCGATCAGGGGGAAAAAAAAAAAAAAAAAGGGAGAAGCTAGCTAGCAAATGAGGACATATGATTGAGAATCGTGGTGCATATGATTGGGTTACTTTCTCTGACTTGATGATCATCGATTATTATTTGGACAGTTCATCTCTCAAATATTCTATCTCCTCATTTTCTAAAGATTCACCTTGATCAGCTTCATTATAAAAAGAAACTGAGATGGCAGGTTGAGGATGTTGGCCTCTTTGTAACAAATGCTATGATTTTTATTTATCCAACTATACAATTATTAATTATAATAGTCATTATTATTACCGGTGGCAGTTTGCACTCTTTTTCTTTCCGGTTGGGATGGAGGGTGTGGGGTTTTGGGTGTAGGTTTTTAAGTGTGGAAAGCGAGTCATCAAACCTATAAACACATTTTAGCTACAGAGTTAAACAGATAGTTGTTTCTTATGCGTTTCCATATCGAATATTAAGAATTTATACGCATATTTGAACTTGGTAAGAATCGAATTTGTATGCTTATCAACAAAATCTTGAATACTCTTTATCACGTAAGGTGTGAGGGTTTTGGATGTGGAAGCAAGTCTTGCACAAGAATTGAATTTGTAAGCTTGCCAATGAGAGGTCTTGCATAGCCATATTAGTTGAGTTAAATTCGTTCCACCTTTCTGTCAAAATTAACAAAATCCACGAAATTGATCAGTTTCGTAGAAATATATACTGAACTCTTATTAATGACATGTAAACAATGATGTGTTAAAATTCTACTCTCTCCATCCTACAAAAATAATCCAGTTTAATAAAAATGTTTGTCTCAAAAAGATAGTCCAGTTTCACAAAAGTCGAAACTAATTGAAATGACTTAAATATCCATAACACTAATAGTAAGAAAAACAATGTCCACTTCCTTTGATTTTTATTTTTTTTTAGTTTTCTCCTATTTTTTCAAATGATTATATTTTTTAATAAATGAATAATTAAAAAATATGTTATATATCAAATTAATCTACAAATGAGATCTTTCCATCAAAATTCACTGTCAATATTTTTTTTTGAGATAAAAATTTTGATCAAATTTAAGTTGTAAAATAAATGCATATGTAGTTAACTTTTATAAAAAAACTAAAGGGGTATTAGTGGAAATTAAGGCCATAAAATGAGTTCTATATTTGATATGTTGAACAAATTAAAAAAATTATATATTTTTAAACTGGATTATTTTTTTGGGACGGAGCGAGTATATCTTTGCGATACCTTGTAAGCATATGACATTCATGTATATGATGATGTATGGTAGATCTTCTCCTTAAAATTGATGAAGCTTTGGTACCATTTAGGTCATGCTAACCGCCAGTACTATTTATGTATTCCTTCCGTTCTATAATTATTGTCCACTTTGCCCAAAAAATTTTGTCCCAAAATTATTGTCCAATTTGACTTTTTATGGATCAAGTTACACATTTGTCCTTAGAAAAAAACATTATCTATAAAATCTTAGTGGTTAAGCAATTACTTATGTAGGGATATATCCGGTTGTTTAAGGTAAAATATAGTTAAGTTTGACCAAAAATAAAATCTTTCATTTTAGTAAAACTGGACAATAATTATGGGACGGAGGGAGTAGATTTTTTTATAATTAAGAAAGGATTGGAAACAGTGTTATATCAACAATTGTAAAATAGATGATGTTCACAGAGAGAACGTCTAGCATACATAACAAATTCCTGGTTACAGGGATTGAATTTAGCAGTTTGTCCCTCAAATAGAAATAATAATTTAGACATTTAGGTCGGTACAAGATGGCCCCAAAAAAAAATAATAAAATGAAAATTACCTGATATTATTTCTTAATGTACTCCTTTTACGTTCTTTCTTAAAGCTGAAGGAAAGGATTTGGGAGAGGTTCATGAAGCTGATGATGTAGATGTACCTTTCTAAGGTGAGAAACAATGGAAAACTTTGAAGGAATGGCTAGCGTCACATTCCATACAATCGTTTCTATTGCAACTT